ATGGTTCTGCAATTCTGTGATTCTATGAAATAAGACACATCCTATAACTACAAAGGCCAGAATGACAGTGTTGATTAAAATACATAATCCAATATATACTACTTCTGTAGGAATATAATTACATGAAGGAAAATTCATTTTAGTGTACCTGAGGAACTATATCCCACACTTTTGTTTCTCTGTTTCACTTTGGTTATTACACGCTGAGTTGCCAACACCCACAGAAAGCACATCAAGAATTAGGTACTCATTGTCCTGCGATGGTCCAGTTATTTACTCAAGAAAAACCATACACTTCTTTGTCTATAAACTTCGAAGTCTTTCAACACATCTCTGCACATCTCTACAAGGAGAATGTCCCAGTTTCAGCAAAAAAAGTGTTAGTAGCACACTGAGGTTCAGTTCACAGAATCATAGAACCACCAAGGTTGGAAAAGACCTCCAAGATCATCCAGTCCAACCATCCAACTATCACCAATAGTTCTCATTAATAGTTCTCATTAACCATGTCCCTCAACACAAAATCCAAACGTTCCTTGAACACCTCCAGGGGGGTTGGACTCGATGATCTCTGGAGGTCCCTTCCAACCCCTACAATTCTGTGATTCTGGGTGATTCTGTGATTCTGTGAACCTCCACATTCAATACCAGACCAGGCTGCCCAGGGCCCCATCCAACCTGGCCTTGAACACCTCCAGGGATGGGGCATCCACAGCCTCTCTGGAAGAAAGTGGCTTATTATTCCACATTGATGCACACTTAGTAGATAAGATGAAATACTTAATAAGTACCAAAATTGTAACTTTTGTATTATAGACTATTCTGTTTTGCCAAGAGGCCCTGAGCAAAAGAACAACTTAAGGGGCCTCTGACATAAGGTCCCTCTTTTGGATTAGGAGGAATGCAAGTGATGCTCCCCTACCTTTTCCCTTCAAACTTACCTCTATCCCAGGACAGCAGGTGGCCCAGTGCTGAATGAGCAAATGTGAGAAGTTAATTCAAGGAAGGACTGGATGTTGTGTTGAGGGACATGGTTTAGTGGGAGCTATTGGGAATAGGTGAACGGTTGGACTGGATGAGCTTTTAGGTCTTTTCCAACCTTGGTGATTCTATGATTCTGTGATTCTAATTAGCATTCTATGATTCTAATTAGCATTCTATGATTCTAATTAGGGTTGGTGACTCCACCCCCTCCCTGGGCGGCCCATTCTGGTGCTGACCACTCTTTCAGAGAAGTAGTATTTCCTAACATCCAGCCTAAATCTCCCCTGGCACAGCTTGAAGCCATTCCCTCTAGTTCTATCACCAGTTACATGACAGAAGAGGTTGACTCCCAGCTCACTACAACCTCCCTTCAGGCAGTTATAGAGAGCAGTAAGGTCTCCCCTGAGCCTCCTCTTCTCCAGACTGCACAATCCCAGCTCCTTCAGCCGCTCCTCATAAGGCCTGTGCTCCAGACCCCTCACCAGCTTTGCTGCCAGGTCATCAATAAAGATATTGAAGGCCCAGCACCGACCCCCAGGGAACACCACTCGTGACCGGTCGCCAGCTGGATTTAGCGCCATTCACCACTTTTCTCTGGGCCCGCTCCTCCAGCCAGTTCCTTCCCCAGCCAAGAGCGTACCTGTCCAAGCCACGTGCTGCCAGCTCTGCAGAACAACTGCTGCTGAGTCGTAAGACCGCTCCCGGTGCCGGGCCGGGCCGCTGAGAGGAGCGCAGCCGCCGCCATGACGGGCAGCAGCGGGGTCGGGGCGGGGCCGGGCCTGAGCGGGGGCTTTTCCGTACCGCGTGACATCAGGCGAACACCACAATGCTACGGGCAGGGCTGTCGTTGTTCGGTAGCTGTGTGAGCTGTGGTGCGGCGGCGGCATCGGCGCGTCGGCGGCATGTGTTTGGCGCTGTGTTTTCGTCGGTGAACGGTGAGTAATTGCTTTATAACTATGCATGCAGTTAATTACCATAACGTTTCGGTGTCTATTTTCCTCTTCTGTCTTGGTAGTTGGCTGTTTTGTTACAGCGCACAAATAGTATTTTGTTTTCAGTTTTTCTCCTAATCCCGCCCTGGGGGGACTGAGTAAATGACTGTGATGCTGAGCAGCTGCAGGGCTGCTCTGCAGCGTGAAGCCCAGTGGGACCCAACCCAGAATCATGGAGTCCTTAGAGTTGGAAGGGACCTTTAGGGGCTATCTAGTCCAGCTCCCCTGCAATGAACGGGGACATCTGCAGCTCAGTCACATTGCTCAGAGCATGGTCCAGCCTGGCCTTGAATGTGTTCAGGGATGGGGCATCCACCACTAACCTGTTGCCCTGTTTCTCCACCCACAGTGTAATAGGTTTTTTCTTTATATCCAACCTAAATCTACCCTCTTGAAGCTTGAAACAGTTTCTCCTTGTTTGATCACCACAGACACTGCTAAAGAGACTGTGCCTTTCTTTCCTGTAGCTCCCATTTAGTACTGAAAGGCTGCCGTCGGGTCACCTTCTCTTCTTTGGGTGGAACTGCCTCAGATCTCTCAGCCTATCCTTGTAGGGAAGATGTTCCATCTGTTGGATCATTTTGGTGGTTGTCATCTGGGCATGCTCCAGCAGGTCTGTGTCTCAGGAGTACATCCGGATGCAGTACTGCAGGTGAAGTCTCAGCAGTGCAGAGCAGAGAGGCAGGATCACCTCCCTCATTTTGCTGGCCACACTTCTTTGGAAGCAGCCTAGGATATAGTTGGCTTTCCGGGCTGTGAGGGCATGTTGCTGGCTCATGTCTAGCTTGCCATCCACCAGTAGTCCTACGTCCTGTTTGTCAGGGCTGTGCTCCATCCTTGCTCCCCCAAGCTTGTATTGGTAATGGAGGTTAGCATGACTCGGATACAAGACCTTGCACTGGGGTTCTCCTGGGCCCACTGTTTGAGCCTGCCCAGGTCTCTCTGAATGGTGTCCTGTCCTTTAGGTATGTATATCTCACTACACAGCTTGGTGTAATCAGCAAACTTGCTGAGGTTGCACTCAATTCCTTTGTTGATGTTACTGATGATGATGTTAAAGTGCACTGACCCCCGATGGACACAACTTTTCACTAAAATCCGTTTCAAAAAGGAGTCATTAACCACCATCCTCTGTGTGTGATCTCATAACCAATTCCTCACCTATCAAATAACATCAAATGTTACCAAATTAGAGAGAAGGATGTTATGGGGGACTATATCAAAGGCCTTAATGATGTCCAAATGTGTGACACTGGTGGTGCTTTCCTTCCCAGTGATGCAGTTACATCATAAAGTGACAAGCAGGGCCTACCCTTTGTGAAGTCATGCTGGTTATCCCATACCATCTTTCTCACTTCCATGTGCTTTAGCACAGCTTCTGGGAGGGTCTGCTCCATGATATTCCCCAGCATTGAGGTGCAGATAGGTAAGTAGTTCCCTGAGTCATTGTGTGATAACTGTTGAGTCTGTGTCTCAGTGCCTGAACCACTGTTTAAACACCTGGGGAAAGGTCCCAGTCAGCCTTGGGAGCACAGGGGAAGGCAATTCAACTGTGAAATCAGAAGGGGTGGAGCCTGGCTCCACCTCTCATAGATCCCATTTCAGGGCTGACTGCCACTGTAGAAGAATCTCTCCCTGGAGATACACTATTTGTGTATTTTTTTCCCTGTGAGCCTAGATCTTTAGTGATGTTTAGGCAGTCATTTTAAATGTTCCTTAATGACACCTTACTATTGTGCTAGTCCCTTTATCATTACTCCTCTTAGATTACCGTTAAATTGTGTTGATCTTCCTGGTGGTTACAATCATTATTTACATGCTTGTTAAAAAATGGGCATGGTGGTTCTGGTCCATTAAGTAGTCAAATCCCTGAACCTCAAATATATGCCCAAAAATGCAATCCCTCAATAACTTGTACTATACACTCTTATTTCACATCTAAACTGGTATAATGCAATCAATAATCAAACACCAATCTTACAGGAACAGCGTACCACTGGAGGACAGATGTAGCGTGACACTGGAGGACATATGTAGCGTGACACTGGAGGACAGATGTAGCATGTCGGCAGAGGTCTGAGGTAGCGCGCCAGTGGTGGCTGAATGGGGAGCAATGGGGGAGGCCAGAGGGAGCGCGCCGGGGTAAAATGGGGAGCATCTGCAGGGGTCCAAGGGAGCACGTGGGAGGAGGACAGAGGTAGCACCTGTGGAGGCCTGAGGGAGTGTGCAGGGGGATGATGGGGAGCACCTGCAGAGCACCAAGGGATCATGCTGGGGGAGGATGGGGAATGGCGGCAGAAGTCTGAGGGAGCGCACGGGGGGAGGCTGGAAGGAGCATGCGCGAGGAGGATGGGGAGAGCAGAGCACCTGCAGAGGCCTGAGGGAGAGCACTGGGGGAGGACAAAGAATGAATCTGAGGAGGCTGGAGGGAGCTTGCTGGTGGAGGACAGATGGAGAACGATGGGGGAAGATGGGGAGCGCAATCTGAGGGAGCGTGCTGGGGAAGGCTGGAGCGAATGCCAGTGGAGATATAAGTTAACAAGCTGGGGGAGGCTGGAGAGAGTTTGCCCGGGGGAGGATGGGGAGCACGTGTAGAGGTCCAAGAGAGTGCGCCAGGGGAAGATGGTTAGCATCACGGGAGGACAGAGGGAGCAACTGTGGAGGCTGAAGGCAGTGTGCCAAGGAGGCTGGATGGAGGGTGACGGGGGAGCATGGGGAGAACCTGCAAAGGTCTCAGGGAGCGCACCGGGGGAGGCCAAAGGGAGTGTGCCAGGGGTGGATAGGGAGCACCAGCAGACGTCTGAGAGAGCGTGCCGGGGGAAGAGAGAGAGCGCCAGGGGAGGACAGGGAGTGAACATGTGTAAGATAAATAGAAGGCACCCAAGGAGGACAGGGAAAACCAGCAATATCCGAGAACACTACAGCTGGTAAAGGCTAGAGGGTAAGTTTAGTTAGCATGCCTGCAGACGCTAGCAGGCAGGCCAAGATAGTGCGCCGGCGGAGGCTAGTTGATAAGGTAAGTTAGTGTGCCGGTGAAGGTTAGTGGGCAGGCCAAGTTAGTGCGCCGTCCGAGGCTAGTTGATAAGCTCAGTTAGCGCGCCGGTGGAGGTTAGTGGGCAGGCCAAGTTAGTGCGCCGGCAGAGGCTAGTTGATAAGCTAAGTTAGCGCACCGGTGGAGGTTAGTGGGCAGGCCAAGTTAGTGCGCCGTCCGAGGCTAGTTGATAAGCTAAGTTAGTGCGCCAGTGGAGGTTAGTGGGCAGGCCAAGTTAGTGCGCCGGCGGAGGCTAGTTGATAAGCTAAGTTAGCGCACCGGTGGAGGTTAGTGGGCAGGCCAAGTTAGTGCGCCGGCGGAGGCTAGTTGATAAGCTAAGTTAGCGCACCGGTGGAGGTTAGTGGGCAGGCCAAGTTAGTGCGCCGGCGGAGGCTAGTTGATAAGGTAAGTTAGTGTGCCGGTGAAGGTTAGTGGGCAGGCCAAGTTAGTGCGCCGTCCGAGGCTAGTTGATAAGCTTAGTTAGCGCGCCGGTGGAGGTTAGTGGGCAGGCCAAGTTAGTGCGCTGTCCGAGGCTAGTTGATAAGCTAAGTTAGCGCGCCGGTGGAGGTTAGTGGGCAGGCCAAGTTAGTGCTCCGGCAGAGGGTAATTGATAAGCTTTGTTTGCGTGCCAGTAGAGGTTAGTGGGCAGACCAAGTTAGTGCGCCGGCGGAGGCTAGTTGATAAGCTTTTTTAGCGCGCCGGTGGAGGTTAGTGGGCAGGCCAAGTTAGTGCGCCGGTGCAGGCTAGTTGATAAGCCAAGTTAGTGCGCCAGTGGAGGTTAGTGGGCAGGCCAAGTTAGTGCGCCGGTGGAGGTTAGAGCACAGGCCAAGTTAGTGCGCCGGCAGAGGCTAGTTGATAAGCTAAGTTAGCACGCCAGTAGAGGTTAGTGGGCAGGCCAAGTTAGTGCGCCGGCGGAGGCTAGTTGATAAGCTAAGTTAGTGCGCCAGTGGAGGTTAGTGGGCAGGCTAAGTTAGTCGACCAGCGAAGGATAGAGGACAGGCCAAGTTAGTGCGCCGGCAGAGGCTAGTTGATAAGCTGAGATAGCGCGCCAGTAGAGGTTAGTGGGCAGGCCAAGTTAGTGCGCGGGCTGAGGTAGTTGATAAGCTAAGTTAACGCGCCGGTGGAGGTTAGTGGGCAGGCCAAGTTAGTGCGCTGGCGGAGGGTAGAGGTCAGGCCAAGTTAGTGCGCCGGCGGAGGCTAGTTGATAAGCTGAGATAGCGCGCCAGTAGAGGTTAGTGGGCAGGCCAAGTTAGTGCGCGGGCGGAGGCCAGTTGATAAGCTATGTTAGTGCGCCTGTGGAGGTTAGTGGGCAGGCCAAGTTAGTGCGCGGATGGAGGCTAGTTGATAAGCTAAGTTAGTGCGCCGGTGGAGGTTAGTGGGCAGGCGAAGTTAGTGCGCTGGCGGAGGGTAGAGGTCAGGCAAAGTTAGTGCGCCGGCGGAGGCTATTTAATAAGCTGAGATAGCGCGCCAGTAGAGGTTAGTGGGCAGGCCAAGTTAGTGCGCCAGTGGAGGATAGAGGACAGACCAAGCTAGTGCGCCGGCAGAGGCTAGTGGATAACCTAAGTTAGTGGGCCGGTGGAGCTTAGTGGGCAGGCCAAGTTAGTGCGCCGGCAGAGGTTAGTGGGCAGGCCAAGTTAGTGCGCCGGCAGAGGCTAGTTGATAAGCTAAGTTAGCGCACCGGTGGAGGTTAGTGGGCAGGCCAAGTTAGTGCGCCGGCGGAGGCTAGTTGATAAGGTAAGTTAGTGTGCCGGTGAAGGTTAGTGGGCAGGCCAAGTTAGTGCGCCGTCCGAGGCTAGTTGATAAGCTTAGTTAGCGCGCCGGTGGAGGTTAGTGGGCAGGCCAAGTTAGTGCGCCGGCAGAGGGTAATTGATAAGCTTTGTTAGCGCGCCAGTAGAGGTTAGTGGGCAGACCAAGTTAGTGCGCCGGCGGAGGCTAGTTGATAAGCTAAGTTAGTGCGCCAGTGGAGGTTAGTGGGCAGGCCAAGTTAGTGCGCCGGTGGAGGTTAGAGCACAGGCCAAGTTAGTGCGCCGGCAGAGGGTAGTTGATAAACTTAGCGCGACGGTGGAGGTTAGTGGGCAGGCCAAGTTAGTGCGCCGGCGGAGGCTAGTTGATAAGCAAAGTTAGTGCGCCGGTGGAGGTTAGTGGGCAGGCCAAGTTAGTGCGCCAGTGGAGGTTAGTGGGCAGGCAAAGTTAGTGCACCGTCGGAGGCTAGTTGATAAGCTAAGTTAGTGCGCCAGTGGAGGTTAGTGGGCAGGCCAAGTTAGTGCGCCGGTGGAGGTTAGAGCACAGGCCAAGTTAGTGCGCCGGCAGAGGCTAGTTGATAAGCTAAGTTAGCACGCCAGTAGAGGTTAGTGGGCAGGCAAAGTTAGTGCGCCGTCGGAGGCTAGTTGATAAGCTAAGTTAGTGCGCCGGTGGAGGTTAGTGGGCAGGCCAAGTTAGTGCGCCGGCGGAGGCTAGTTGATAAGCTAAGTTAGTGCGCCAGTGGAGGTTAGTGGGCAGGCTAAGTTAGTCGACCAGCGAAGGATAGAGGACAGGCCAAGTTAGTGCGCCGGCAGAGGCTAGTTGATAAGCTGAGATAGCGCGCCAGTAGAGGTTAGTGGGCAGGCCAAGTTAGTGCGCGGGCTGAGGTAGTTGATAAGCTAAGTTAACGCGCCGGTGGAGGTTAGTGGGCAGGCCAAGTTAGTGCGCTGGCGGAGGGTAGAGGTCAGGCCAAGTTAGTGCGCCGGCGGAGGCTAGTTAATAAGCTGAGATAGCGCGCCAGTAGAGGTTAGTGGGCAGGCCAAGTTAGTGCGCGGGCGGAGGCTAGTTGATAAGCTAAGTTAGTGCGCCAGTGGAGGTTAGTGGGTAGGCCAACTTAGTGCGCCAGCGGAGGATAGAAGACAGGCCAAGTTAGTGCGCCGGCAGAGGCTAGTGGATAACCTAAGTTAGTGCGCCGGTGGAGGTTAGTGGGCAGGCCAAGTTAGTGCGCCGTCGGAGGCTAGTTGATAAGCTTAGTTAGCGCGCTGGTGGAGCTTAGTGGGCAGGCCAAGTTAGTGCGCCGGTGGAGGATTGAGGACAGGCCAAGTTAGTACGCCGGCAGAGGCTAGTTGATAAGCTGAGATAGCGCGCCAGTAGAGGTTAGTGGGCAGGCCTAGTTAGTGCGCGGGCGGAGGCTAGTTGATAAGCTATGTTAGTGCGCCTGTGGAGGTTAGTGGGCAGGCCGAGTTAGTGCGCCAGCGGAGGATAGAGGACAGGCTGTTAGTGTGCCGGCAGAGGCTAGTTGATAAGCTAAGTTAGCGCGCCAGTAGAGGTTAGTGGGCAGGCCAAGTTAGTGCGCCGGTGGAGGTTAGAGCACAGGCCAAGTGAGTGCGCCGGCAGAGGGTAGTTGATAAGCTAAGTTAACGCGCCGGTGGAGGTTAGTGGGCAGGCCAAGTTAGTGCGCCGGCGGAGGATAGAGGACAGGCCAAGTTAGTGCGCCGGCAGAGGGTAGTTGATAAGCTGAGATAGCGCGCCAGTAGAGGTTAGTGGGCAGGCCAAGTTAGTGCGCCGGCGGAGGCTAGTTAATAAGCTTAGTTAGCGGCCGGTGGAGGTTAGTGGGCAGGCCAAGTTAGTGCGCCGGCAGAGGCTAGTTGATAAGCTTTTTTAGCGCGCTGGTGGAGGTTAGTGGGCAGGCCAAGTTAGTGCGCCGGCGGAGGATAGAGGACAGGCCAAGTTAGTGCGCCGGCAGAGGCTACTTGATAAGTTAACTTGGTGCACCAGTGGAGGTTAGTGGGCAGGGCACGTTAGTGCGCCAGTGGAGGTTACAGCACAGGCCAAGTTAGTGCGCCGGCAGAGGCTAGTTGATAAACTTAGTTAGCGCGCCGGTGGAGGTTAGCGGGCAGGCCAAGTTAGTGCGCGGACGGAGGCTAGTTGATAAGCTAAGTTAGTGCGCCGGTGGAGGTTAGTGGGCAGGCCAAGTTAGTGCGCTGGCGGAGGGTAGAGGTCAGGCCAAGTTAGTGCGCCGGCGGAGGCTATTTAATAAGCTGAGATAGCGCGCCGGCAGAGGTTAGTGGGCAGGCCAAGTTAGTGCGCCGTCGGAGGCTAGTTGATAAGCTAAGTTAGCGCACCGGTGGAGGTTAGTGGGCAGGCCAAGTTAGTGCGCCGGCGGAGGCTAGTTGATAAGGTAAGTTAGTGTGCCGGTGAAGGTTAGTGGGCAGGCCAAGTTAGTGCGCCGTCCGAGGCTAGTTGATAAGCTTAGTTAGCGCGCCGGTGGAGGTTAGTGGGCAGGCCAAGTTAGTGCGCCGGCAGAGGGTAATTGATAAGCTTTGTTAGCGCGCCAGTAGAGGTTAGTGGGCAGACCAAGTTAGTGCGCCGGCGGAGGCTAGTTGATAAGCTAAGTTAGTGCGCCAGTGGAGGTTAGTGGGCAGGCCAAGTTAGTGCGCCGGTGGAGGTTAGAGCACAGGCCAAGTTAGTGCGCCGGCAGAGGGTAGTTGATAAACTTAGCGCGACGGTGGAGGTTAGTGGGCAGGCCAAGTTAGTGCGCCGGCGGAGGCTAGTTGATAAGCAAAGTTAATGCGCCGGTGGAGGTTAGTGGGCAGGCCAAGTTAGTGCGCCGGTGGAGGTTAGAGCACAGGCCAAGTTAGTGCGCCGGCGGAGGCTAGTTGATAAGCTAAGTTAGCGCGCCAGTAGAGGTTAGTGGGCAGGCCAAGTTAGTGCGCCGTCGGAGGCTAGTTGATAAGCTAAGTTAGTGCGCCAGTGGAGGTTAGTGGGCAGGCCAAGTTAGTCCACCAGCGAAGGATAGAGGACAGGCCAAGTTAGTGCGCCGGCAGAGGCTAGTTAATAAGCTGAGATAGCGCGCCGGTAGAGGTTAGTGGGCAGGCCAAGTTAGTGCGCTGTCGGAGGCTAGTTGATAAGCTAAGTTAGTGCGCCAGTGGAGGTTAGTGGGTAGGCCAAGTTAGTGCGCCAGCGGAGGATAGAGACAGGCCAAGTTAGTGCGCCGGCAGAGGCTAGTGGATAACCTAAGTTAGTGCGCCGGTGGAGGTTAGTGGGCAGGCCAAGTTAGTGCGCCGTCGGAGGCTAGTTGATAAGCTAAGTTAGTGCGACAGAGGAGGTTAGTGGGTAGGCCAAGTTAGTGCGCCAGCGGAGGTTAGAGCACAGGCCAAGTTAGTGCGCCGGCAGAGGGTAGTTGATAAACTTAGTTAGCGCGCCGGTGGAGGTTAGCGGGCAGGCGAAGTTAGTGCGCTGGCGGAGGGTAGAGGTCAGGCAAAGTTAGTGCGCCGGCGGAGGCTATTTAATAAGCTGAGATAGCGCGCCAGTAGAGGTTAGTGGGCAGGCCAAGTTAGTGCGCCATCGGAGGCTAGTTGATAAGCTAAGTTAGTGCGCCAGTGGAGGTTAGTGGGCAGGCCAAGTTAGTGCGCCAGTGGAGGATAGAGGACAGACCAAGTTAGTGCGCCGGCAGAGGCTAGTGGATAACCTAAGTTAGTGCGCCGGTGGAGGTTAGTGGGCAGGCCAAGTTAGTGCGCCGGCGGAGGATAGAGGACAGGCCAAGTTAGTGCGCCGGCAGAGGCTAGTTGATAAGCTAAGTTAGCGCACCGGTGGAGGTTAGTGGGCAGGCCAAGTTAGTGCGCCGGCGGAGGCTAGTTGATAAGGTAAGTTAGTGCGCCAGCGGAGGATAGAGGACAGGCTGTTAGTGTGCCGGCAGAGGCTAGTTGATAAGCTAAGTTAGCGCGCCAGTGGAGGTTAGTGGGCAGGCCAAGTTAGTGCGCCGGCAGAGGGTAGTTGATAAGCTAAGTTAGCGCGCCGGTGGAGGTTAGTGGGCAGGCCAAGTTAGTGCGCCGGCAGAGGGTAATTGATAAGCTTTGTTTGCGTGCCAGTAGAGGTTAGTGGGCAGACCAAGTTAGTGCGCCGGCGGAGGCTAGTTGATAAGCTTTTTTAGCGCGCCGGTGGAGGTTAGTGGGCAGGCCAAGTTAGTTCGCCGTCGGAGGCTAGTTGATAAGCTAAGTTAGTGCGCCAGTGGAGGTTAGTGGGCAGGCCAAGTTAGTGCGCCGGTGGAGGTTAGAGCACAGGCCAAGTTAGTGCGCCGGCAGAGGGTAGTTGATAAACTTAGCGCGCCGGTGGAGGTTAGTGGGCAGGCCAAGTTAGTGCGCCGGTGGAGGTTAGAGGAGGCCAAGTTAGTGCGCCGGTGGAGGTTAGAGGACAGGCCAAGTTAGTGCGCCGGCAGAGGCTAGTTGATAAGCTAAGTTAGCACGCCAGTAGAGGTTAGTGGGCAGGCAAAGTTAGTGCGCCGGCGGAGGCTAGTTGATAAGCTAAGTTAGTGCGCCGGTGGAGGTTAGTGGGCAGGCCAAGTTAGTGCGCCGTCGGAGGCTAGTTGATAAGCTAAGTTAGTGCGCCAGTGGAGGTTAGTGGGCAGGCTAAGTTAGTCGACCAGCGAAGGATAGAGGACAGGCCAAGTTAGTGCGCCGGCAGAGGCTAGTTGATAAGCTGAGATAGCGCGCCAGTAGAGGTTAGTGGGCAGGCCAAGTTAGTGCGCGGGCTGAGGTAGTTGATAAGCTAAGTTAACGCGCCGGTGGAGGTTAGTGGGCAGGCCAAGTTAGTGCGCTGGCGGAGGGTAGAGGTCAGGCCAAGTTAGTGCGCCGGCGGAGGCTAGTTAATAAGCTGAGATAGCGCGCCAGTAGAGGTTAGTGGGCAGGCCAAGTTAGTGCGCCGGCGGAGGCTAGTTGATAAGCTAAGTTAGTGCGCCAGTGGAGGTTAGTGGGTAGGCCAACTTAGTGCGCCAGCGGAGGATAGAAGACAGGCCAAGTTAGTGCGCCGGCAGAGGCTAGTGGATAACCTAAGTTAGTGCGCCGGTGGAGGTTAGTGGGCAGGCCAAGTTAGTGCGCCGTCGGAGGCTAGTTGATAAGCTTAGTTAGCGCGCTGGTGGAGCTTAGTGGGCAGGCCAAGTTAGTGCGCCGGTGGAGGATTGAGGACAGGCCAAGTTAGTACGCCGGCAGAGGCTAGTTGATAAGCTGAGATAGCGCGCCAGTAGAGGTTAGTGGGCAGGCCAAGTTAGTGCGCCGGCGGAGGATAGAGGACAGGCCAAGTTAGTGCGCCGGCAGAGGCTACTTGATAAGTTAACTTGGTGCACCAGTGGAGGTTAGTGGGCAGGGCACGTTAGTGCGCCAGTGGAGGTTACAGCACAGGCCAAGTTAGTGCGTCGGCATAGGCTAGTTGATAAACTTAGTTAGCGCGCCGGTGCAGGTTAGCGGGCAGGCCAAGTTAGTGCGCGGACGGAGGCTAGTTGATAAGCTAAGTTAGTGCGCCGGTGGAGGTTAGTGGGCAGGCCAAGTTAGTGCGCTGGCGGAGGGTAGAGGTCAGGCCAAGTTAGTGCGCCGGCGGAGGCTATTTAATAAGCTGAGATAGCGCGCCGGCAGAGGTTAGTGGGCAGGCCAAGTTAGTGCGCCGTCGGAGGCTAGTTGATAAGCTAAGTTAGCGCACCGGTGGAGGTTAGTGGGCAGGCCAAGTTAGTGCGCCGGCGGAGGCTAGTTGATAAGGTAAGTTAGTGTGCCGGTGAAGGTTAGTGGGCAGGCCAAGTTAGTGCGCCGTCCGAGGCTAGTTGATAAGCTTAGTTAGCGCGCCGGTGGAGGTTAGTGGGCAGGCCAAGTTAGTGCGCCGGCAGAGGGTAATTGATAAGCTTTGTTAGCGCGCCAGTAGAGGTTAGTGGGCAGGCCAAGTTAGTGCGCCGTCGGAGGCTAGTTGATAAGCTAAGTTAGTGCGCCAGTGGAGGTTAGTGGGCAGGCCAAGTTAGTGCGCCGGTGGAGGTTAGAGCACAGGCCAAGTTAGTGCGCCGGCAGAGGGTAGTTGATAAACTTAGCGCGACGGTGGAGGTTAGTGGGCAGGCCAAGTTAGTGCGCCGGCGGAGGCTAGTTGATAAGCAAAGTTAATGCGCCGGTGGAGGTTAGTGGGCAGGCCAAGTTAGTGCGCCGGTGGAGGTTAGAGCACAGGCCAAGTTAGTGCGCCGGCAGAGGCTAGTTGATAAGCTAAGTTAGCGCGCCAGTAGAGGTTAGTGGGCAGGCAAGTTAGTGCACTGTCGGAGGCTAGTTGATAAGCTAAGTTAGTGCGCCAGTGGAGGTTAGTGGGCAGGCCAAGTTAGTGCGCCGGCGGAGGCTAGTTGATAAGCTAAGTTAGTGCGCCAGTGGAGGTTAGTGGGCAGGCTAAGTTAGTCCACCAGCGAAGGATAGAGGACAGGCCAAGTTCGTGCGCCGGCAGAGGCTAGTTGATAAGCTGAGATAGCGCGCCGGTGGAGGTTAGTGGGCAGGCCAAGTTAGTGCGCTGGCGGAGGGTAGAGGTCAGGCCAAGTTAGTGCGCCGGCGGAGGCTAGTTAATAAGCTGAGATAGCGCGCCAGTAGAGGTTAGTGGGCAGGCCAAGTTAGTGCGCTGTCGGAGGCTAGTTGATAAGCTAAGTTAGTGCGCCAGTGGAGGTTAGTGGGTAGGCCAACTTATTGCGCCAGCGGAGGATAGAAGACAGGCCAAGTTAGTGCGCCGGCAGAGGCTAGTGGATAACCTAAGTTAGTGCGCCGGTGGAGGTTAGTGGGCAGGCCAAGTTAGTGCGCCGTCGGAGGCTAGTTGATAAGCTAAGTTAGTGCGACAGAGGAGGTTAGTGAGTAGGCCAAGTTAGTGCGCCAGCGGAGGTTAGAGCACAGGCCAAGTTAGTGCGCCGGCAGAGGGTAGTTGATAACCTAAGTTAGTGCGCCGGTGGAGGTTAGTGGGCAGGCCAAGTTAGTGCGCCGGCGGAGGATAGAGGACAGGCCAAGTTAGTGCGCCGGCAGAGGCTAGTTGATAAGCTAAGTTAGTGCGCCAGCGAAGGATAGAGGACAGGCCAAGTTAGTGCGCCGGCAGAGGCTAGTTGATAAGCTAAGTTAGCACGCCGGTGGAGGTTAGTGTGCAGGCAAAGTTAGCACAACAACGGAGACTAGTTGATAAGCTAAGTTAGTGCGACAGAGGAGGTTAGTGGGTAGGCCAAGTTAGTGCGCCGGCGGAGGTTAGAGCACAGGCCAAGTTAGTGCGCCGGCAGAGGGTAGTTGATAAACTTAGCGCGCCGGTGGAGGTTAGCGGGCAGGCAAAGTTAGTGCGCGGATGGAGGCTAGTTGATAAGCTAAGTTAGTGCGCCGGTGGAGGTTAGTGGGCAGGCGAAGTTAGTGCGCTGGCGGAGGGTAGAGGTCAGGCAAAGTTAGTGCGCCGGCGGAGGCTATTTAATAAGCTGAGATAGCGCGCCAGTAGAGGTTAGTGGGCAGGCCAAGTTAGTGCGCCAGTGGAGGATAGAGGACAGACCAAGTTAGTGCGCCGGCAGAGGCTAGTGGATAACCTAAGTTAGTGCGCCGGTGGAGGTTAGTGGGCAGGCCAAGTTAGTGCGCCGGCAGAGGATAGAGGAAAGGCCAAGTTAGTGCGCCGGCAGAGGCTAGTTGATATGCTAAGTTAGCGCACCGGTGGAGGTTAGTGGGCAGGCCAAGTTAGTGCGCCGGCGGAGGCTAGTTGATAAGCTTAGTTAGCGCGCCGGTGGAGGTTAGTGGGCAGGCCAAGTTAGTGCGCCGGCAGAGGGTAATTGATAAGCTTTGTTAGCGCGCCAGTAGAGGTTAGTGGGCAGGCCAAGTTAGTTCGCCGTCGGAGGCTAGTTGATAAGCTTTTTTAGTGCGCCAGTGGAGGTTAGTGGGCAGGCCAAGTTAGTGCGCCGGTGGAGGTTAGAGCACAGGCCAAGTTAGTGCGCCGGCAGATGGTAGTTGATAAACTTAGCGCGACGGTGGAGGTTAGTGGGCAGGCCAAGTTAGTGCGCCGGCGGAGGCTAGTTGATAAGCAAAGTTAATGCGCCGGTGGAGGTTAGTGGGCAGGCCAAGTTAGTGCGCCGGTGGAGGTTAGAGCACAGGCCAAGTTAGTGCGCCGGCGGAGGCTAGTTGATAAGCTAAGTTAGCGCGCCAGTAGAGGTTAGTGGGCAGGCCAAGTTAGTGCACCGTCGGAGGCTAGTTGATAAGCTAAGTTAGTGCGCCAGTGGAGGTTAGTGGGCAGGCTAAGTTAGTCCACCAGCGAAGGATAGAGGACAGGCCAAGTTCGTGCGCCGGCAGAGGCTAGTTGATAAGCTGAGATAGCGCGCCAGTAGAGGTTAGTGGGCAGGCCAAGTTAGTGCGCTGTCGGAGGCTAGTTGATAAGCTAAGTTAGTGCGCCAGTGGAGGTTAGTGGGCAGGCCAAGTTAGTGCGCCAGTGGAGGATAGAGGACAGACCAAGTTAGTGCGCCGGCAGAGGCTAGTGGATAACCTAAGTTAGTGCGCCGGTGGAGGTTAGTGGGCAGGCCAAGTTAGTGCACCGGCGGAGGATAGAGGACAGGCCAAGTTAGTGCGCCGGCAGAGGCTAGTTGATAAGCTAAGTTAGTGCGCCAGCGAAGGATAGAGGACAGGCCAAGTTAGTGCGCCGGCGGAGGCTAGTTGATAAGCTAAGTTAGCACGCCGGTGGAGGTTAGTGTGCAGGCAAAGTTAGCACAACAACGGAGACTAGTTGATAAGCTAAGTTAGTGCGACAGAGGAGGTTAGTGGGTAGGCCAAGTTAGTGCGCCGGCGGAGGTTAGAGCACAGGCCAAGTTAGTGCGCCGGCAGAGGGTAGTTGATAAACTTAGCGCGCCGGTGGAGGTTAGCGGGCAGGCGAAGTTAGTGCGCGGATGGAGGCTAGTTGATAAGCTAAGTTAGTGCGCCGGTGGAGGTTAGTGGGCAGGCCAAGTTAGTGCGCTGGCGGAGGGTAGAGGTCAGGCAAAGTTAGTGCGCCGGCGGAGGCTATTTAATAAGCTGAGATAGCGCGCCAGTAGAGGTTAGTGGGCAGGCCAAGTTAGTGCGCCAGTGGAGGATAGAGGACAGACCAAGTTAGTGCTTCGGCAGAGGCTAGTGGATAACCTAAGTTAGTGCGCCGGTGGAGGTTAGTGGGCAGGCCAAGTTAGTGCGCCGGCAGAGGATAGAGGACAGGCCAAGTTAGTGCGCCGGCAGAGGCTAGTTGATATGCTAAGTTAGCGCACCGGTGGAGGTTAGTGGGCAGGCCAAGTTAGTGCGCCGGCGGAGGCTAGTTGATAAGGTAAGTTAGTGTGCCGGTGAAGGTTAGTGGGCAGGCCAAGTTAGTGCGCCGTCCGAGGCTAGTTGATAAGCTTAGTTAGCGCGCCGGTGGAGGTTAGTGGGCAGGCCAAGTTAGTGCGCCGGCAGAGGGTAATTGATAAGCTTTGTTAGCGCGCCAGTAGAGGTTAGTGGGCAGACCAAGTTAGTGCGCCGGCGGAGGCTAGTTGATAAGCTTTTTTAGCGCGCCGGTGGAGGTTAGTGGGCAGGCCAAGTTAGTTCGCCGTCGGAGGCTAGTTGATAAGCTAAGTTAGTGCGCCAGTGGAGGTTAGTGGGCAGGCCAAGTTAGTGCGCCAGTGGAGGATAGAGGACAGACCAAGTTAGTGCGCCGGCAGAGGCTAGTGGATAACCTAAGTTAGTGCGCTGGTGGAGGTTAGTGGGCAGGCCAAGTTAGTGCGCCGGCGGAGGATAGAGGACAGGCCAAGTTAGTGCGCCGGCAGAGGCTAGTTGATAAGCTAAGTTAGTGCGCCAGCGAAGGATAGAGGACAGGCCAAGTTAGTGCGCCGGCGGAGGCTAGTTGATAAGCTAAGTTAGCACGCCGGTGGAGGTTAGTGTGCAGGCAAAGTTAGCACAACAACGGAGACTAGTTGATAAGCTAAGTTAGTGCGACAGAGGAGGTTAGTGGGCAGGCCAAGTTAGTGCGCCGGCGGAGGTTAGAGCACAGGCCAAGTTAGTGCGCCGGCAGAGGGTAGTTGATAAACTTAGCGCGCCGGTGGAGGTTAGTGGGCAGGCCAAGTTAGTGCGCCGGCGGAGGCTAGTTGATAAGCAAAGTTAATGCGCCGGTGGAGGTTAGTGGGCAGGCCAAGTTAGTGCGCCGGTGGAGGTTAGAGCACAGGCCAAGTTAGTGCGCCGGCAGAGGCTAGTTGATAAGCTAAGTTAGCGCGCCAGTAGAGGTTAGTGGGCAGGCCAAGTTAGTGCACCGTCGGAGGCTAGTTGATAAGCTAAGTTAGTGCGCCAGTGGAGGTTAGTGGGCAGGCTAAGTTAGTCCACCAGCGAAGGATAGAGGACAGGCCAAGTTCGTGCGCCGGCAGAGGCTAGTTAATAAGCTGAGATAGCGCGCCAGTAGAGGTTAGTGGGCAGGCCAAGTTAGTGCGCTGTCGGAGGCTAGTTGATAAGCTAAGTTAGTGCGCCAGTGGAGGTTAGTGGGTAGGCCAACTTATTGCGCCAGCGGAGGATAGAAGACAGGCCAAGTTAGTGCGCCGGCAGAGGCTAGTGGATAACCTAAGTTAGTGCGCCGGTGGAGGTTAGTGGGCAGGCCAAGTTAGTGCGCCGTCGGAGGCTAGTTGATAAGCTAAGTTAGTGCGACAGAGGAGGTTAGTGGGTAGGCCAAGTTAGTGCGCCAGCGGAGGTTAGAGCACAGGCCAAGTTAGTGCGCCGGCAGAGGGTAGTTGATAAACTTAGTTAGCGCGCCGGTGGAGGTTAGCGGGCAGGCGAAGTTAGTGCGCTGGCGGAGGGTAGAGGTCAGGCAAAGTTAGTGCGCCGGCGGAGGCTATTTAATAAGCTAAGATAGCGCGCCAGTAGAGGTTAGTGGGCAGGCCAAGTTAGTGCGCCATCGGAGGCTAGTTGATAAGCTAAGTTAGTGCGCCAGTGGAGGTTAGTGGGCAGGCCAAGTTAGTGCGCCAGTGGAGGATAGAGGACAGACCAAGTTAGTGCGCCGGCAGAGGCTAGTGGATAACCTAAGTTAGTGCGCCGGTGGAGGTTAGTGGGCAGGCCAAGTTAGTGCGCCGGCGGAGGATAGAGGACAGGCCAAGTTAGTGCGCCGGCAGAGGCTAGTTGATAAGCTAAGTTAGCGCACCGGTGGAGGTTAGTGGGCAGGCCAAGTTAGTGCGCCGGCGGAGGCTAGTTGATAAGGTAAGTTAGTGCGCCAGCGGAGGATAGTGGGACAGGCCAAGTTAGTGCGCCGGCAGAGGCTAGTTGATAAGCTAAGTTAGCGCGCCGGTGAGGTTAGTGGGCAGGCCAAGTTAGTGCGCCGGCAGAGGGTAGTTGATAAGCTAAGTTAGCGCGCCGGTGGAGGTTAGTGGGCAGGCCAAGTTAGTGCGCCGGCAGAGGGTAATTGATAAGCTTTGTTTGCGTGCCAGTAGAGGTTAGTGGGCAGACCAAGTTAGTGCGCCGGCGGAGGCTAGTTGATAAGCTTTTTTAGCGCGCCGGTGGAGGTTAGTGGGCAGGCCAAGTTAGTTCGCCGTCGGAGGCTAGTTGATAAGCTAAGTTAGTGCGCCAGTGGAGGTTAGTGGGCAGGCCAAGTTAGTGCGCCGGTGGAGGTTAGAGCACAGGCCAAGTTAGTGCGCCGGCAGAGGGTAGTTGATAAACTTAGCGCGCCGGTGGAGTTTAGTGGGCAGGCCAAGTTAGTGCGCCGGTGGAGGTTAGAGGACAGGCCAAGTTAGTGCGCCGGCAGAGGCTAGTTGATAAGCTAAGTTAGCACGCCAGTAGAGGTTAGTGGGCAGGCAAAGTTAGTGCGCCGTCGGAGGCTAGTTGATAAGCTAAGTTAGTGCGCCGGTGGAGGTTAGTGGGCAGGCCAAGTTAGTGCGCCGGCGGAGGCTAGTTGATAAGCTAAGTTAGTGCGCCAGTGGAGGTTAGTGGGCAGGCTAAGTTAGTCGACCAGCGAAGGATAGAGGACAGGCCAAGTTAGTGCGCCGGCAGAGGCTAGTTGATAAGCTGAGATAGCGCGCCAGTAGAGGTTAGTGGGCAGGCCAAGTTAGTGCGCGGGCTGAGGTAGTTGATAAGCTAAGTTAACGCGCCGGTGGAGGTTAGTGGGCAGGCCAAGTTAGTGCGCTGGCGGAGGGTAGAGGTCAGGCCAAGTTAGTGCGCCGGCGGAGGCTAGTTAATAAGCTGAGATAGCGCGCCAGTAGAGGTTAGTGGGCAGGCCAAGTTAGTGCGCGGGCGGAGGCTAGTTGATAAGCTAAGTTAGTGCGCCAGTGGAGGTTAGTGGGTAGGCCAACTTAGTGCGCCAGCGGAGGATAGAAGACAGGCCAAGTTAGTGCGCCGGCAGAGGCTAGTGGATAACCTAAGTTAGTGCGCCGGTGGAGGTTAGTGGGCAGGCCAAGTTAGTGCGCCGTCGGAGGCTAGTTGATAAGCTTAGTTAGCGCGCTGGTGGAGCTTAGTGGGCAGGCCAAGTTAGTGCGCCGGTGGAGGATTGAGGACAGGCCAAGTTAGTACGCCGGCAGAGGCTAGTTGATAAGCTGAGATAGCGCGCCAGTAGAGGTTAGTGGGCAGGCCTAGTTAGTGCGCGGGCGGAGGCTAGTTGATAAGCTATGTTAGTGCGCCTGTGGAGGTTAGTGGGCAGGCCGAGTTAGTGCGCCAGCGGAGGATAGAGGACAGGCTGTTAGTGTGCCGGCAGAGGCTAGTTGATAAGCTAAGTTAGCGCGCCAGTAGAGGTTAGTGGGCAGGCCAAGTTAGTGCGCCGGTAGAGGTTAGAGCACAGGCCAAGTGAGTGCGCCGGCAGAGGGTAGTTGATAAGCTAAGTTAACGCGCCGGTGGAGGTTAGTGGGCAGGCCAAGTTAGTGCGCCGGCGGAGGATAGAGGACAGGCCAAGTTAGTGCGCCGGCAGAGGGTAGTTGATAAGCTGAGATAGCGCGCCAGTAGAGGTTAGTGGGCAGGCCAAGTTAGTGCGCCGGCGGAGGCTAGTTAATAAGCTTAGTTAGCGGCCGGTGGAGGTTAGTGGGCAGGCCAAGTTAGTGCGCTGGCGGAGGGTAGAGGTCAGGCCAAGTTAGTGCGCCGGCGGAGGCTAGTTAATAAGCTGAGATAGCGCGCCAGTAGAGGTTAGTGGGCAGGCCAAGTTAGTGCGCCGGCGGAGGCTAGTTGATAAGCTAAGTTAGTGCGCCAGTGGAGGTTAGTGGGTAGGCCAACTTATTGCGCCAGCGGAGGACAGAAGACAGGCCAAGTTAGTGCGCCGGCAGAGGCTAGTGGATAACCTAAGTTAGTGCGCCGGTGGAGGTTAGTGGGCAGGCCAAGTTAGTGCGCCGGCGGAGGCTAGTTGATAAGCTAAGTTAGCACGCCGGTGGAGGTTAGTGTGCAGGCAAAGTTAGCACAAGAACGGAGACTAGTTGATAAGCTAAGTTAGTGCGACAGAGGAGGTTAGTGGGTAGGCCAAGTTAGTGCGCCGGCGGAGGTTAGAGCACAGGCCAAGTTAGTGCGCCGGCAGAGGGTAGTTGATAAACTTAGCGCGCCGGTGGAGGTTAGCGGGCAGGCCAAGTTAGTGCGCGGATGGAGGCTAGTTGATAAGCTAAGTTAGTGCGCCGGTGGAGGTTAGTGGGCAGGCGAAGTTAGTGCGCTGGCGGAGGGTAGAGGTCAGGCAAAGTTAGTGCGCCGGCGGAGGCTATTTAATAAGCTGAGATAGCGCGCCAGTAGAGGTTAGTGGGCAGGCCAAGTTAGTGCGCCAGTGGAGGATAGAGGACAGACCAAGTTAGTGCGCCGGCAGAGGCTAGTGTATAACCTAAGTTAGTGCGCCGGTGGAGGTTAGTGGGCAGGCCAAGTTAGTGCGCCAGGCGGAGGATAGAGGACAGGCCAAGTTAGTGCGCCGGCAGAGGCTAGTTGATAAGCTAAGTTAGTGCGCCGGTGGAGGTTAGTGGGCAGGCCAAGTTAGTGCGCCGGCGGAGGCTAGTTGATAAGGTAACTTAGTGTGCCGGTGGAGGTTAGTGGGCAGGCCAAGTAAGTGCGCCGTCCGAGGCTAGTTGATAAGCTTAGTTAGCGCGCCGGTGGAGGTTAGTGGGCCGGCCAAGTTAGTGCGCCGGCAGAGGGTAATTGATAAGCTTTGTTAGCGCGCCAGTAGAGGTTAGTGGGCAGACCAAGTTAGTGCGCCGGCGGAGGCTAGTTGATAAGCTTTTTTAGCGCGCCGGTGGAGGTTAGTGGGCAGGCCAAGTTAGTGCGCCGTCCGAGGCTAGTTGATAAGCTTAGTTAGCGCGCCGGTGGAGGTTAGTGGGCAGGCCAAGTTAGTGCGCCGGCAGAGGGTAATTGATAAGCTTTGTTAGCGCGCCAGTAGAGGTTAATTTGCAGACCAAGTTAGTGCGCCGGCGGAGGCTAGTTGATAAGCTTTTTTAGCGCGCCGGTGGAGGTTAGTGGGCAGGCCAAGTTAGTTCGCCGTCGGAGGCTATTTGATAAGCTAAGTTAGTGCGCCAGTGGAGGTTAGTGGGCAGGCCAAGTTAGTGCGCCGGTGGAGGTTAGAGCACAGGCCAAGTTAGTGCGCCGGCAGAGGGTAGTTGGTAAACTTAGCGCGACGGTGGAGGTTAGTGGGCAGGCCAAGTTAGTGCGCCGGCGGAGGCTAGTTGATAAGCAAAGTTAATGCGCCGGTGGAGGTTAGTGGGCAGGCCAAGTTAGTGCGCCGGTGGAGGTTAGAGCACAGGCCAAGTTAGTGCGCCGGCAGAGGCTAGTTGATAAGCTAAGTTAGCGCGCCAGTAGAGGTTAGTGGGCAGGCCAAGTTAGTGCACCGTCGGAGGCTAGTTGATAAGCTAAGTTGATGTGCCAGTGGAGGTTAGTGGGCAGGCCAAGTTAGTGCGCCGGCGGAGGCTAGTTGATAAGCTAAGTTAGTGCGCCAGTGGAGGTTAGTGGGCAGGCTAAGTTAGTCCACCAGCGAAGGATAGAGGACAGGCCAAGTTAGTGCGCCGGCAGAGGCTAGTTAATAAGCTGAGATAGCGCGCCAGTAGAGGTTAGTGGGCAGGCCAAGATAGTGCGCAGTCGGAGGCTAGTTCATAAGCTAAGTTAGTGCGCCAGTGGAGGTTAGTGGGTAGGCCAACTTATTGCGCCAGCGGAGGATAAAAGACAGGCCAAGTTAGTGCGCCGGCAGAGGCTAGTGGATATCCTAAGTTACTGCGCCGGTGGAGGTTAGTGGGCAGGCCGAGTTAGTGCGCTGGCGGAGGGTAGAGGTCAGGCCAAGTTAGTGCGCCGGCGGAGGCTAGTTGATAAGCTGAGATAGCGCGCCAGTAGAGGTTAGTGGGCAGGCCAAGTTAGTGCGCCGTCGGAGGCTAGTTGATAAGCTAAGTTAGTGCGCCAGTGGAGGTTAGTGGGCAGGCCAAGTTAGTGCGCCAGTGGAGGATTGAGGACAGACCAAGTTAGTGCGCCGGCAGAGGATAGTTGATAAGCTAAGTTAGCGCGCCAGTAGAGGTTAGTGGGCAGGCCAAGTTAGTGCGCCGGCGGAGGCTAGTTGATAAGCTTAGTTAGCGGCCGGTGGAGGTTAGTGGGCAGGCCAAGTTAGTGCGCCGTCCGAGGCTAGTTGATAAGCTTTTTTAGCGCGCCGGTGGAGGTTAGTGGGCAGGCCAACTTAGTGCGCCGTCGGAGGCTAGTTGATAAGCTAAGTTAGTGCGCCAGTGGAGGTTAGTGGGCAGGCCAAGTTAGTGCGCCGGTGGAGGTTAGAGCACAGGCCAAGTTAGTGCGCCGGCAGAGGGTAGTTGATAAACTTAGTTAGCGCGCGGGTGGAGGTTAGTGGGCAGGCCAAGTTAGTGCGCCGGCGGAGGCTAGTTGATAAGCAAAGTTAATGCGCCGGTGGAGGTTAGTGGGCAGGCCAAGTTAGTGCGCCGGTGGAGGTTAGAGCACAGGCCAAGTTAGTGCGCCGGCGGAGGCTAGTTGATAAGCTATGTTAGCGCGCCAGTAGAGGTTAGTGGGCAGGCAAAGTTAGTGCACCGTCGGAGGCTAGTTGATAAGCTAAGTTAGTGCGCCGGTGGAGGTTAGTGGGCAGGCCAAGTTAGTGCGCCGGCGGAGGCTAGTTGATAAGCTAAGTTAGTGCGCCAGTGGAGGTTAGTGGGCAGGCTAAGTTAGTCCACCAGCGAAGGATAGAGGACAGGCCAAGTTAGTGCGCCGGCAGAGGCTAGTTGATAAGCTGAGATAGCGCGCCGGTGGAGGTTAGTGGGCAGGCCAAGTTAGTGCGCTGGCGGAGGGTAGAGGTCAGGCCAAGTTAGTGCGCCGGCAGAGGCTAGTTAATAAGCTGAGATAGCGCGCCAGTAGAGGTTAGTGGGCAGGCCAAGTTAGTGCGCCATCGGAGGCTAGTTGATAAGCTAAGTTAGTGCGCCAGTGGAGGTTAGTGGGTAGGCCAACTTAGTGCGCCAGCGGAGGATAGAAGACAGGCCAAGTTAGTGCGCCGGCAGAGGCTAGTTGATAACCTAAGTTAGTGCGCCGGTGGAGGTTAGTGGGCAGGCCAAGTTAGTGCGCCGTCGGAGGCTAGTTGATAAGCTAAGTTAGTGCGCCAGTGGAGGTTAGTGGGCAGGCCAAGTTAGTGCGCCAGCGGAGGATAGAAGACAGGCCAAGTTAGTGCGCCGGCAGAGGCTAGTTGATAACCTAAGTTAGTGCGCCGGTGGAGGTTAGTGGGCAGGCCAAGATAGTGCGCCGTCGGAGGCTAGTTGATAAGCTTAGTTAGCGCGCTGGTGGAGCTTAGTGGGCAGGCCAAGTTAGTGCGCCCGTGGGGGATAGAGGACAGGCCAAGTTTTACGCCGGCAGAGGCTAGTTGATAAGCTGAGATAGCGCGCCAGTAGAGGTTAGTGGGCAGGCCAAGTTAGTGCGCCAGCGGAGGATAGAGGACAGGCTGTTAGTGTTCCGGCAGAGGCTAGATGATAAGCTTACTAAGCGCGCCGGTGGAGTTTAGTGGGCAGGCGAAGTTAGTGCGCCGTCGGAGGCTAGTTGATAAGCTAAGTTAGTGCGCTGGTGGAAGGTTGTGGGCAGGCCAAGTTATTGCGCCGGTGGAGGATAGAGGACAGGCCAAGTTAGTGCGCCGGCAGAGGGTAGTTGATAAGCTGAGATAGCGCGCCAGTAGAGGTTAGTGGGCAGGCCAAGTTAGTGCGCCGTCGGAGGCTAGTTAATAAGCTTAGTTAGCGGCCGGTGGAGGTTAGTGGGCAGGCCAAGTTAGTGCGCCGGCAGAGGGTAGTTGATAAGCTTAGTTAGCGCGCCGGTGGAGGTTAGTGGGCAGGCCAAGTTAATGCGCCAGCAGAGGCTAGTTGATAAGCTTTTTTAGCGCGCTGGTGGAGGTTAGTGGGCAGGCCAAGTTAGTGCGCCGGCGGAGGATAGAGGACAGGCCAAGTTAGTGCGCCGGCAGAGGCTAGTTGATAAGTTAACTTGGTGCACCAGTGGAGGTTAGTGGGCAGGCCAAGTTAGTGCGCCAGTGGAGGTTACAGCACAGGCCAAGTTAGTGCGCCGGCAGAGGGTAGTTGATAAACTTAGTTAGCGCGCCGGTGGAGGTTAGTGGGCAGGCCAAGTTAGTGCGCGGACGGAGGCTAGTTGATAAGCTAAGTTAGTGCGCCGGTGGAGGTTAGTGGGCAGGCCAAGTTAGTGCGCCGGTGGAGGTTAGAGCACAGGCCAAGTTAGTGGATAAGCTAAGTTAGTGCGCCGGTGGAGGTTAGTGGGCAGGCCAAGTTAGTGCGCTGGCGGAGGGTAGAGGTCAGGCCAAGTTAGTGCGCCGGCGGAGGCTAGTTGATAAGCTGAGATAGCGCGCCAGTAGAGGTTAGTGGGCAGGCCAAGTTAGTGCGCCGGGCGGAGGCTAGTTGATAAGCTAAGTTAAGTGCGCCAGTGGAGGTTAGTGGGCAGGCCAAGTTAGTGCGCCAGTGGAGGATTGAGGACAGGCCAAGTTAGTGCGCCGGCAGAGGCTAGTGGATAACCTAAGTTAGTGCGCCGGTGGAGGTTAGTGGGCAGGCCAAGTTAGTGCGCCGGCGGAGGCTAGTTGATAAGCTTAGTTAGCGCGCTGGTGGAGGTTAGTGGGCAGGCCAAGTTAGTGCGCCGGTGGAGGATTGAGGACAGGCCAAGTTAGTACGCTGGCAGAGGCTAGTTGATAAGCTAAGTTAGTGCGCCGGTGGAGGTTAGTGGGCAGGCCAAGTTAGTGCGCCGGCGGAGGCTAGTTGCACAGGCTGTTAGTGTGCCGGTGGAGGCTAGTTGATAAGCTAAGTTAGTGCGCTGGCAGATGGTACTAGATAAGCTGAGCTAGCACGCCAGTGGAGGTTAGTGGGCAGGCCAAGTTAGTGCGCCGGCAGAGGCTAGTTGATAAGCTTTGTTAGCGCGCCAGTAGAGGTTAGTGGGCAAGCCAAGTTAGTGCGCCTTCGGAGGCTAGTTGATAAGCTAAGTTAGCGCGCCGGTGGAGGTTAGTGGGCAGGCCAAGTTAGTGCGCTGGCGGAGGCTAGTTGATAAGGTAAGTTAGTGCGCCGGTGGAGGTTAGTGGGCAGGCCAAGTTAGTGCGCTGGTGGAGGTTAGAGCACAGGCCAAGTTAGTGCGCCGGTGGAGGCTAGTTGATAAGCTAAGTTAGCGCGCCGGTGGAGGTTAGTGGGCAGGCCAAGTTAGTGCACCGGTGGAGACTAGTTGATAAGGTAATTGAGCGAGCGGGCGGAGGACAGTGGGCAGGCCTAGTGTATGCGCCGGCTGAGGCTTGTTGATACGCTAAGTTAGTGCGCTTGTGGAGGTTAGAGGACAGGCCAAGTTGGTGCGCCGGCGGAGGCTGGTTGATAAGCTAAGTTATCGTGCCTGCGGAGGTTAGTGGGCAGGCCAAGTTAGTGTGCTGGCGGAGGCTTGTTGATAAGCTAAGTTAGCGTGCTGGTTGATGTTAATTGGCAAGCCAAGTTAGTGCACTGGTGGAGGCTAGTTGATAAGGTAAGTTAGCGTGCCGGCACAGGTTAGAGGGCAGGCCAAGTTAGTGCGTTGGCGGAGGCTCGAGGGCCGGCAAGCTAGCATGGCTGCAGAGGCTAGCTGGCAGGCCATTTTAGCATGCTGTTCGAGGCTAGAGTGCACGCCTATTTATCACGCCAGCTGAGGTTAGTGGGCAGGCTAAGTTAGCTTGCCGGCGGAGGTTTGAGGTCCAGTAAGTTAGCGCGCCTGCAGTTCTGCTTTCAAAGTGACTGCTAATTGCCCTAGCACGTGCGTGGATTGCAGCATTTGCTGATCTATCTTGTAACACTCTTTGGTACTTGTTTTAATGAAGAGAGAAAGAGGCTCCTACCAGTCCCACCATGACCCGTACAAGAGCACTGGAAGAGCAGAGTGGGATTTGTTGCTGCATTCAAAACCTTTCTAGAAGTAAAGCCTTCCATATGGTGAAATGGTTCTCTGTAAATAACAGTAACAGTTTGATTTCTGGTTCTGAAAAGACAATGTGATGCATGGTAGGCTGTTGTACACTGCCATGCTTTACAAGACCCAAGAAGACAGGAATCCAATCCTGCAAACACCAGTTGCAGTGTCAAAATCAAGCCCAGAGGCATCACCTGTCTGTTCCAGAAGTCCTGTTTCCTCTCTGACTGTTGTTTGCAGGATCTTGTGTGATGGAAGTGTTACAGCAAACATTGCTATACATTTGCAAAACTGAGTTGTCAAGCTTGCATTTTCAAAGCACCAATCCATCTTAATTTAGGCATCTGGTAAGCAAGCTCATTTTCGGAGGTGCTGAGTGCTTAACATCAATTGAACTGAATGGATATTCCAGATGACCTCCTCTCCTCTCCTCTCCTCTCCTCTCCTCTCCTCTCCTCTCCTCTCCTCTCCTCTCCTCTCCTCTCCTCTCCTCTCCTCTCCTCTCCTCTCCTCTCCTCTCCTCTCCTCTCCTCTCCTCTCCTCTCCTCTCCTCTCCTCTCCTCTCCTCTCCTCTCCTCTCCTCTCCTCTCCTCTCCTCTCCTCTCCTCTCCTCTCCTCTCCTCTCCTCTCCTCTCCTCTCCTCTCCTCTCCTCTCCTCTCCTCTCCTCTCCTCTCCTCTCCTCCCCTCTCCTCCCCTCTCCTCCCCTCCCCTCTCCTCCCCTCCCCTCCCCTCCCCTCCCCTCCCCTCCCCTCCCCTCCCCTCCCCTCCCCTCCCCTCCCTCCCCTCCCCTCCCCTCCCCTCCCCTCCCCTCCCCTCCCCTCCCCTCCCCTCTCCTCCCCTCCCCTCCCCTCCCCTCCCCTCCCCTCCCCTCCCCTCCCCTCCCCTCCCCTCCCCTCCCCTCTTCATACATACATACTAATGCCAACATTTATGTCTTCCTAGACAGAACCGGGCTGCAATAAAGCACTGAGACAAGAGAAAGCAGAAGTAGCTTTCGGTAGTGACAACCTCCTGTTGAACAGAACACCACTGGAAATAGTGTATACAGCAGCAGCACTTGTGCTCTACCCAGAGCACTGCAAACAGTACTGTGGACAGTGACCATTGAACATTGGCTGTGTACTATTTCAAGAAGTTTTCATTATGTTAAATGCTGATGCTTGATCTTCCTCCAGGGCCAGAAAGCTTTCATCCCCCGGACAAATGCCTTCAGCATTGCTGTGTTCTTGCAGCACTGATTTCAGTCGCTGACGTGTCATGCATCGATATTCATTCATTCATTCATGATGCATAGCACCGTCTTCATTCAGATGGTGTTTCAAGCAGCTAAAACAACAAAACGGGCTTGGATAATTTCCTCTTTCATTTTGAAACAGGTCCCAACTGTTGCTTCTTTTAAGTCTCCGTGAGAAGGCTGCTTTTGCATTTAAGTTTGTCACGCATGAAAAGTCTGACATCATTATTTGATGTTTTACTGAGTCTCCCCTGAGCCCTTTGCAGAATCCTTAATCGTGTCATCATTAGCTGTTTTCATAAAAGCAGAAAACCTCCGTGATCAACATACAGTGAGGCTCTGCTCATAGATAGATTGTGGTGACACTGTTACCCAGGCATATGCTCTGAAATCTCCTTGGGTTTGAGAAGTATAATCTCATTTTCTTGGATTTCAGATGCATGCTAAATCCTGTCCACAGCATTAAACACCTTTTTTTCTCATGCATACCTGTTATTCCACCTAGATCTACCTTTCAGCTTATAGAACCTCTGATTAACAGCAACTAGCTGCTCTTAATGCCAATATCTGCCATTGCAGAGGCACTGCTTTGATGTTTTCACTGCAGGAGATCTATCACTCCCATCTTTGGTGCAAATAGGAGGATGGAGCCCCTCTCATGGAGCAGTTCACTGCCACACCTCTTGCTAGTGTCACTTGCCGTGCCTTTCAGTTTGGAGGGGATTTTGCCAACAGGCTCTGTGTTGGGATAATCCAGCTTTGGTGCTATGATCATTTCTTTAGGAAAGCATACAGACTGGTTGCCCTTTGTAGGCCAGCTGGTGATCACTGTGCATTAAATCTGTCATTTTCTGCCTTTCAGCGGTATTTCCTCCATCAGGAATCTAATGACTGTCCTTGATTTCTGCTCCACCTACAGTTACTGGGCCTGCTTGAAGTTTGCGAAGTGGCTTAAATACCATTTACTGTCAGCTACTCCTCATGGATGCCATGAGGGCTTGAACACACTCTCATAGGAGGAATACTCATAATAAACATCTGCCTGGGTAAAGGACCAGACATGCACATTTGCAATTAAATAGCTTAATGTCATTTAAGTATAATCAAATCCTTGGTTAATGTAATCCAATATGGCACCGCTGGAGCTAACCAAAGGCTTGTTCCAACCCTCAGGTGATAGAAAACTCAGTTCAAAAGGCTTTCAAAGCAAAAAGAATTTGTGGTTTTGTGGTCACTGTTAGGCTTAGGGAATGTCACATCCTTGTGTTCTGATTCAGACTTCCTCCTGGATTATTAAAATGGGTCATTTCAACGCCATGTTTCAATTCCTTCTGCTGTAAAGTGGATGTAACATCACTTCTACATCACACAGTGCATTCTGAGTGTTGCCTACTTTTGTATTACAGATCCATCTTTAATGATGCTAATAGGATCATTATTGGAGCACTTCTCCTATGAAGACAGGCTGAGGGAGCTGGGCTTGTTCAGCCTAGAGAAAAGAAGGCTACGGGGTGACCACATTGCAGCCTTTCAATACCTAAAGGGAGCCTACAAACAGGAGGGCAATCAGCTCTTTGAAAGGGTAGACAACAGCAGGACAAGGGGAAATGGTTTTAAGTTGAGGGAGATTGAAGGTTTAGGTTGGCTGTCAGGGAGAAGTGCTTTACAGAGAGATGGTGAAATGCTGGCACAGCTGCCCAGAGAGGCTGTGGATGCCCCGTCCATCCCTGGAGGTGTTCAAGGCCAGGCTGGATGGGGCCCTGAGCAGCCTGGTCTGGTATTAAATGGGGAGGTTGGTGGCCCTTCGTGTGGCAGGGGGTTGGAGATTCCTGATCCTTGAGGTCCCTTCCAACCCTGGCCATTCTGTGATTCTGTGATTCTGTAATATTCTGAACAGTAACATTTAAGGAAGGGTACAATCAGATGCTTTAAAATACAGATCCAAACGTTACTTTCTGTTGGGTTAAATTAGTAGACGTGAGGCCATTTCTGCCATGCAGGTTGTGAGGCAAGGACAAGAACTGTAGCCTAGGTAGGTCCCAAGGCTTACCCAGCTCACCAGCATATCTGCAGTAGATCTGAGCACTTTCTGGGCCAGAGGATGATGCTACACTTCTGCCATGGAGGAATAGCTGTACCATGCAGCATTTTCTTCACATGTCACTGGATAGAAATTGCTGTGCGTTCTGGTTTAAGGAAGAGGTAGTTCAGAATTTCTGGGAATCACACAAACATTTCTGCTGGGTAATCATCATTAGGAGGAAATGTCTCCATTAACCCTCTTGTCTAAGCTTCACAGCTATGGGAATTTTTTCTCGGAGACGAATCCTATGTTCATCATAGTCCTGCAGTCACCTCCTCCTTCCCCTGCAAAGAGAAAGATTCTTTGCTGAAGATGAGAAAAAAACAATGTTGGCCCAGGGTATGAAGCATCTGCCTGCTGGCTTAGAACAGGGAGCGTGGTCGTGGTCATGCTGGCATCGTGGTTCAGCTGAGTAGAATGGTAACTGAATGGAATCCAAAAAAAGAGTCAAGAAGAATGCTTTTGCTTTCTCCACTCCTCCCCAGATAATATTTCATGTAGTCCCCACCAAATTATACATAAAATAGCTTGTGCCTGTTGTTAGTTAGCTACTAAGGTTGGATCTACAAGCAACAATAACTTGCTCCTATTGTACTATTGCAGTTGGACTGTTGCCATATTCCCCCCATGGGTTTTCTACAGATCTATATTTCAAAGTTATGGCACTCACAAAACTCTGCTGTGTGAGTTCAGACAAGCTAAAAAAAAAATTAGTCATGTTTCCTCTATTCCTGCTACTTTACTAGGCTTCCTATTTGCAATCAAATTATTTTTAATTTTGACCGTGGTCCTATTGTTTGCCAGGAAGATAATCATCTTATCTCGCTGCCGGGATATTTCTCTCTTTTCTCATGTAGTTTCAGATGGATTAAATAAATACCACTTACACAAAGCACACCGAGTTGGGCAAAAGGGCATTTCATGATCCCTGGTTGATGTGAAATTTAGGAAATGTCTCCTTTTTGGACAAAGTAAGAGATTGGAAGGACGTGGACGTGCCGTAAGGGCAGCTGTGCTGTTTTTGTGTGCTAGCAATATGCACACAGTTAATTGTCATTCATCTCAGAGCCTTTATGGAAACACGTGGGTCAGTTTAAAAGTTAGTAAGTGACACTGACTTTGCTCACCAGTGCTGACCAAGGGCCACAGATGACAATTACCCAAGGTTTTGGTAGGGGAAAGGCCAAAAAATGTCTGAGTAGTCCTGTGGGAGCCTTCTGCTCCTTCTTCCTTGGTGAAACCTCTTTATCTCCATGCAGGGTACCCCCACCATGGCATCCATCTGATAGGAAGGCTTTTCACAGAATCATCCAGGGATGCTTTCGTCCCCTTTCACGAGTCTGGAGATCACAGCAGAGGCAGTTAAATGTGCAGCAGCCAGTTCACTGTGTTGTGGCTCCTGTTCTTGAGCTATTCTGAGGGAAGGATAGATGCCCAGCAAGGCAACATGGACAGCCTGTCAGCTCCAACCCAATGCAAGCATCAGGCACCTCTCAGATATTTGCAGTTTCTCCAGTAGCCCCACCTGTGGAGGAGCTGGGCAGTTAACACACAAACAACAATCACACAATGGAAAGCTGCGTGGACCGCTCGTAACCCAACTGTTCTGTTTTGTGTTTTATAACCTTCACCCACATACCCTTTCCTAGTGCTGGATGCTGAGTGGCTTACCTCCAGCTTCCTAATTATCGAGGCACTGCTGCTGGTATTTTACTGCAGATGAGGAAATGAGGACATATGGCTTGTGTGATAAGAGATTTATGTGAGCTGTCTGTACAGCGGTGCTGCAACTTTCTATACGAGTCCATTTATAAAACAAAACACGTGTAAACAGTCGGGTTTTGATTGTTTCTGTGATTTCTTCCCCCTCGTGACAGATGTAAAGGAAAAACTGTAAGTTTCCACTTGATGCATGCGGATAAGTTTATGGCTAATGGGATGGATCCCAACTGCAGTAAATCAGTCTCCACTTCCTCTGATCTCTGTCAGCTACAATCCAGCTCTGTGTGGGTAGATGGGAAGAAATACAAAGGAATTTGGGCTCGATGGCTGCTCATACTTTATTCACCAGTACGCCTGAAGGGTTCTTGCTGGAGCTTCTTTTGTCAAGAATACAAAATACTGTTTGAATTGGCAGCTAGAGTCCCATGATTATAATAGGCGACTTTGAGTACGCCCTTGTAGATGGGTTGGTTACCTTTAAAATCAGGAGAGAGGCTAAAGAAATAAGAAACTTTCTGGGAAGTTGAGATGGAAATGCAGGATGTCCCCTGTGATTTTTGGCTTTCCTTCAGTTTGAACCACAAATGCCACATGAATGATATTTCTTGTGCTCCTTTCCATAGTCTTCAGGCACCAGACAAGCCCATAATGTATTCTGGGATAGTTCTGACCTTACCTGAGAAAGTCTAAATTGTGTCTGTCTGCAGACAGGCAGTATAACTCACCAAGGCTTTCAGCCCCACATCTCTCAGCAGCATCACCTTGCAAATACAGGTTGGAGGACGCAAGTTTCAAGGTCCATACATACATTAAAAAGCATCACTAATAAATGCTTGCCTAATAACTGAAAGCAGATCCTCTTCACTTTCACTTTGTAATTTTTGGAGATGTTTATCCCTTTGTTTGGGCAGGGTAGGTGAGTCATGGAACAAAAACAGCGTGGAATGTTGCATTCAGCCATGAAAGCACATGCAAAAACTACTAGGAAAAAAAAATCATCCATACAACTTAATCTCGCTGCAGTCACACCCAGTTGGATGAATGAAGCATTAAAACCTGTGCCTTCTGGTTGATTTTCACTGCTGGCCACTGCATGCTGCTGTCACACTCAGCCTTCAGGGTTTGGTTTTCTTAACATCGTGTTTCTTATCATAATTCAGGGCTAGGCTGGCTGGGGCCCCGGACAACCTGATCTAGTGGAAGGAGTCCCTGCCCACAGCAGGGGTTGGATCTGGATGGGCTTTGTATGATTTGTGAACTCTCTTCTTTTGGTAGATAGACAAATGCAGCGCTGAAGCTTATGATCACAGTGAGGGCTGGGGGCTTTCCTTGTATCTGACCCCATCTTTGTGCAGTTCTCTCTCCTCCCCAAGATGAGACGTTGCAGTATTCCCATATGGTTAACAGGCACATGAAGTGTACCAAAGAGTGCCAAAGCTCTGCTCTTGGGTCTTAACACTCAGCCCTGTCCTCTAGTACGAGGCCTGTGGATTTTATCTTCAAGTGCAAAACTCACCTTTTTCTCCTGAAGTACAGATGCTGCTGCTACCACCTACTTTCTACACTGGGATGGAAGCTGGGAACATCCGTGCACCAAGTCTCTAAAGGAGCCCAAGATCTGCTCTATAACCTGAAGGGATATAAACCCAAACTTGTGGGAGTGCTTGGACAGGGGGTGAAATTTATGGTGTGGGCAGGAGATGTCAGCTGCATTTTGTTGGAAACACTCTTGAGCCAGGGCAGAGAAACATGTCAAAACCCATTGAGCCACAGAGATTTCTTGTTACGAGGGCTTTCCTATTGCAGATCCCAGCACCTGCCCTGCAGAATGGATGGTTCTACCAGTCGGGGGCTTTCATATAACAGGAGAGGTACAAGAGGATGAGGAGGAGCTACTGTGCGACGCTGCAGCCTTGCAGCTTGCATCTCTGTGCTGAAATTGCATGCAGGTCCATGAGCAGCTCCAGCATCCTGCTGTGAAGCAGTACCCATTTTCTGAGCAAATTACTTTCTTTACACTGAGACGGCATCACTCCTTTACAGTTTGCAAACTAAGTATAGGAATGATTTCATCCACCTTCAATACACAGCCATCACTATGGGAGAGAAAGCTTGACAGATGTCTCACAGCACTCACCAGCCTTATATTACAGTTTAGGGCAGGAAGCAAGAAAGGATATTAAATCAAACAGAAAGCATGGGAGAACTTCAGGTTAGACAGAGCTTACTTAGTCACACAAGAATTGGGTCAGCACTGGGGGATATGCGTTCACATCCTGCAGCAACCTTAGCACAGCCCAAAATAGTAGCAGTTAGGTAAAAGCCAAGTCTCTTCCCCTTTTTTCTCCCCACTGCAAACACTAATGCTTACATCACGAAAGAAGGAACATAAATTGAACAGCCCTGGGCAATGATTTGCAAACTTGTTGTTCTGCAGATGAACTTTCTGGATATCTCATTAGTACCCACTGGTGGCATTGAGCTTTTCTCTGAACATATTTTTGGGATAGTATAGTTCTTTATATCCTTCATATCACCCCACTATTTTTTACCAGCAACGAAGAATCAGAGCACACATTCATACATCTTCTGTGTGGCGTGGCTTTCATCTCACCAACTGCCATGGCTTGGGATAGCATGCATCAAAAATTGTTTCCTAATGGCATTTGGGACACAGCTGTTCTGGAAGTAAAGGGAGAATTTGGCTGTATGGATATGAGGAACACCACGCCTGCTGTCTTTAGGGACACAACATAGCTTCATGTCTTTTTTGTCTCTGCATACAGAGCCACTACAACTGTCTGCAACACATTCATTGGTGCTCTCCATTGTGCACTCTTTACCTTATATACTTCAACCTCAGGTCCTGGAGCCGTGTGCCTGGTTCCCAAGGTAAACGTTTCTGCTCCTCTCCACAAACATGCTGCGGGTTGCTAGACTGCATTTGCACCAGAACACATGGAAGTGCATGCAGAGCCACACACCTCCATTCGTTCTCCTGCCAGGCTTCATAAGTGCTTGCAGGAGCAACAAGAGAAGGCAGAATATAGGAGCAGGTCCTCAGCACACCCATCAGCAGAGAGCTTTTCCACGGAAAAAGGCTTTGCACACATGATGGTTGTTACATTGTTTGGGAACACCCTAGAATTGAAATCACTGTAGCCGGATTCCTGGAGCATCAAACAAATTCAGAAGAGAGAAGCTGCTTGGAAGGAGTTTTCAAAAGTAACTGGCGCTCGCCTAACTGATTCCTGTTAAAACCAGGAGATATTAAAGGAGCTGCTTGTCCCTGAGTACCTTATATACTTCAACCTCATGTCCTGGAGCCGTGTGCCTGGTTCCCAAGGTAAACACACGTGATTTATTTCAGAAACACATCTGCAGCGCAGGAATTCATTGCACACATCCCTGAAGGGCAGGAGCCAAAACATTTCCAATGTGCCAAGTTACCGGATTGTTATTAAGCTGTCAGAGTTACAGGGAAGGTGCAGGGAAAGGCAACCTCCTTCCCCAGGCCAGGTGGCTTAGCATAGACTTAGGCTGCTTCCCAAAGTAATGAGGCAAGCGGGAGTCAGAGGTTCCTTCCAGCAACAGCTCGGTCCCCCTGGATGCCTCCCTGTAAGCTGCACAAATATTCTGCAGAGGGAGAGGGAAAAGAGTGAAACCTATTCGGTTACATCAAGCTCATGACTGGCCTAGTAAAATCATTTATGGAGTGAGGGAACCCGGAGCGCTTTGGGCTGGAGCCATCTGCTGTTATTTGGTACACAGAATCGGTTTCTATGGATTTTATTAATAGGTCACGCGATTGTGTGCGAGGATGTGAGATGTGAATCTCTCCAGAGGGGTCCCTGCCTGGGGCTCCTATTGCCTTCACAGGCAGCAGCTCCAGCTTTCTGGCAGCCCTGAAAGCCTCAAGGGGAATGGCTCTGCTGCTAGGATTCTGCCTGCATTTTTGCTTGCATGTCTCTCTCGCCACTAAAATTTCAAGCTGATTTTCTTCCTGTTCTTCTCTGCAGCACGTTTACTCAATGTGGAAATAGGGAAATAATCAGAGAAATGCTCCTGCTTGCTTTCTCCGCTGTCTGCAAAATTCTCTTTCTTTCTACCCAGTGGGATTCCTAGTGCAGACCTCAGGCCCCACTTGCACTGGCTTTGGAGTCCACGTTGTGTGCTGGCCCTTACGGTGTGAATTTTGTTTTTAAGCCACTTTGGCCTCCCCTCAGATGGATCCAAAGGGATGTGCTGCACCAAGGATGCTCAAGGCAGGCACTTGTGGGTCACCGCATCCCAGAAGCTGCTCCACCTCCCACAGGGGCTACCAAGGAAGCTCTGAGCTGCTCTGTGACAACAGGCGACATCCCAGAAACAACCGAGAGCCACCCCAAAACCCCACGCCGCAATAGGGCCCGGCCCTCCCTCATCCGCTAACGCGATCCCCAACCACCACAGAAGCCCTCAGCGGGGCCACGCGTTATGGCGCCCCCCGGCGGGCTGGCGCTGCTCTCGGCGCCGCTCCTCACCGCTTCCCCATTGGCGGCGGCGGCTCCGCGCGTCATCGCTTCCTCCCGCTTTTGTGCACCGCCCCGCGTCCCGCTGCCGCCGCCGCTCCGGATCCCGCCGTGCCGCGTCCAGTCGAGCGTTGCCGAGCCGAGTCCCCGCGCATGGCCCCCCGCGGGTAGCCGCTCTCCGGACGGGTAAGGCTCTCCGGGCGCCTTTCCGCGGGCAGTGGGTGCGTGCAGCCGGGCTGCGGGCTCGGTTTTCTTTGGCTCTTTCATTTTTATATTATTTTTTCCCCTCGGTGCCGATTTGGAGTTTCGCTTGTCTTCGTTGTTCTTTCCCCATCCGCTTTCCCCGAAGGTCAGCCCGCTTCTGAAGGTCGCTGGCGGGTTGCGGGGTTCCGCTCCGTGCGGGGCCGATCGCTGCGGGACGGCCGCGTTACGGGCGCTCGTGTCGTCGGGATGCTCCCGACTCGTGCCAGACCCAGCACTGGGTCTCTACAGTCTGGGTTGGTGCCGAGCACCGCAAGCCACAGTACCGGAGAACCGTGCATACGATCGTTTTCTCGCTTGACGTGGCCGAATGCCGCTTGGGAAGTGGATTCCCCTCTCCGACTGCTTTTTGCCTCCTCCCCAATTCCCGTTGGCTTCTCTTAGCCTCTTGCACACCGACCCGCTGCGGGTTTGGCTGCACACAGAGAGCCCAAACCCTGAGATCCATCCTTTGTGGCTGTGCTGGGGATGCTGAGGGTAGCCGGCTCGGATGGGGCCCTGGGCAACTTGATCTGCTGGGTGGCGACCAGCCCACAGCAGGGGCTCGGAGCTGTGAGATCCCTCAGAGGGGTCTTTGAGGTCCCTTCCCACCCAAACCGTTCTGTGATTCAATGACTCTTTCTAGGTTGGGGTTTGTGCAGAGTTTGGGGGTTTCGGGAGTCAAACGGCAGTTCTGTGCTAGCTGAGGGTCTGCTGCCCATCCCTTACAGTGGAAGGGCTTTGAGGTTTCTCCTGCTCTTTAGTGCTTTCCTCCCCAGCTCTGTGCCTCAGGAGGGTTTCCCGGCCCATAGAAGCTCCTCCGTTGCAAGCCAGGGCTGGATGGGCTGCCAGCCTGCTGGTGTGTGAGCATAGGGGCTCTTTTGCATCTTCCTTCCCTAAATAGTTTCTTGTGCTGCAGTTTTATCCATCAGTCTCATTGCAAAGAGATGCAGTCTGGCTTTTCATACAGAACAGAACCTGCAAGCTGATGGACAGAGCAGCATGGAAACTCTTCTCTTCCCTCCATCCCTTCCCAGACATTGCTATGGACTGGTGATGCATCCTGGTGTGAGCATGCAGCTTGGACTTGCTTTGTTTTCTGAGTTTTGCTGTTGGGAAGGGCCCAATGGGGATGGCAAGGATTGCAATGGTGCTGGCAGAGCTTGGTGCTGCGTGTCTGTCCCTCCTGTTGCAGAGCTGCTGCTGGAGGGAAGTGAGTCAGGGAGGTGAGAGGGTCATTAGCTGCAGTGGGAAAGGAATTAAAGACTTTCAATGACAGCTCATCTGCTCCGAGGAAATATGGTTTTTCTCTCTACAAATCTCTGCATTTCTGTGTATCTCCAGGGCCAGCTCAGGAAGGGGCTGCGTGTCCCTGGAGGCAGCAGAGCCCTCAGCTTCTGCAGTGGGCCATGGGCTGCTGTCTGCCAGCTGCAGGCAATGTGTTCTGGGTTCAGTCCTTCCCACTCCCCTCTGCACATATCCCGGCCAAGTGCAGCGTGTGCAGCAATGTGCAGAATGTCAGCTGTGCACCGGGGAGATGGAAAATGCATTATAGAGCCATAAGAAGGGGAATATGGAATTTTATTCTTTTTTCCCACTTGGAGCCCTCAGGCGCTCCTCAGTCTTTGCAGAAGAGTTCTAAATGGCCCCACTGATCCCTAACCTGGCGGAATACCCTGAATCCCCAGACTGTATTTATTTTCCCATTTAAGCTCTGTGAGGCAAAGTGGGCGATGGGACGTTTTTCCAGGAACCCTTCCAGGAAAGCATCCGTGGCTCCGGCCAGGCTCTCTCTGTTCTCCCTCTGCTGCCTCCTTGGCTCTCTGCACATTCCTTCCAGGTGCCTTTTCTGCCTTTGTCAGGTGGGATGCAGGGATGCTCCACGTCATCTCGCTTGTGCCCGACCGTGCTGCCTTTGTGTGATGTGTGGGCACCGGGTTGGCATCTGCCATGCTGCTTTTCTGCAGGAGAGATGAGTTCCATCTGTGAAGGGATGTGTGAGCGCATATGCATGTGGTTGTGTTGGCATTTTGGTTTGTTTTCAGTTTGTTCTCACACTTCTGATCCAGTCTGGCCAAGTAGTCTTCTTCTTAGTCACTGAAATGGCAACTGGTGGCCAACCCAATCACTGTCCCATCTCATCTTTAATAACAGAAGATTAAAAAATAGAATCATAAAATCACTAAGGTTGGAAAAGATCTCAAAGCCATCAGCCGTCAGCCCACCCCTGCCATGCCCACTGACCGTGTCTGTCAGTGCCGCATGGTTCTGGAGCACCTCTGGGGGCGGTGACCCCACCACCTCTCTGGGCAGCTGTGCCACTGCATCACCACTCTTTCCGGCCTGAAATTGCTGCCTTCTGCTCCAGAGCCACTGGGGAATGATTCCCTGCTGAAGATGGATTGTTCAGGAAAGCAGAACGAGAGTGTTGAGCCTTCCCTGTGCCGCCGTGCCAGGAGCTGTGGTGTCCCATACTGGTGACATAGGAAGGAGTTTGGTCCCTCAGTGCTGCAGCAGCTGGGGGGAAAGCATTTGGCCAGGCGGGCTGCAAGGGCTCAGGGTCGAGCCTTGTGTCTTTGTGGTTGGGGCAGGGTGTGCTGCTGGTGTTGGCTCCGGGTGTTCCCAGAGCACCAGGAGTGCCCTGGAAGGCTGAGAATTGGATCTAGACTTGCTGAGGCTTGTAGGAGTCAGAGGTGGCAGGTGCATGTACCACCAAAATAGGAGGATTCGGCTCCAAAATGCATTCCCCAAACACTTTTTCCATGGAAGATCTTATATCTGTATTAGTGGAGACCAAGTGGCTCTGGGTCTCTCATAGAACATGTCCTCTCCCAAGTTAAAACTCACTCTGGCTACTATTTAATCAGCAATTTTGGCAAAAACTGCCCTGGTTTTATGCTCCTCACTCTGCAAAACGATCAGGGCAGATGAGCCAGCGCCGTACTGAAACCAAGGGAGGAGCTGAGCTGGAGCATGGCCTGGTGCCGGAGAAGCAGCACAGGACAAAGTCCGGGCAGCGACGTGCATGGGCCAGGTCCTGGAAGGAGCTGCCCGCTGCGTGGGATGCTGTGCAAACATTGTGTGCTGGCCAGGCCCTTGGGTGACCTGAACTCTCAGGTAGTGATTAAACACCTCTCCTGCACTACTAGGGCTGTCCTGGAGTGTTGGTGTTAATCTGGTCTGTTTAAAGACATTTTGTGATTCTGGAGCCTTGCGAGTGCCTGAAGATCCCTAAAGGACTTTGGAAGTTTTGCACATAACGAGGCTTGGCTGGGGAAAACAGTTTAGGGACAAGGTGCAGGGTGAAGTCTTGTAGCTGGTGGTCGAGGTGAATGGATTGGAATATGTGTGTGGACAGGAACTCTATTTTAAGTGCTTTTTCCTTATTGGCCTCTAACCTGAGAGTGCCCTCAGGGGGACTGTCCCTTTTCTGCATGCTGGGTCATTGCAAAGGCCAACTGATAATGTTATCTGTGGGTGATGCTGGTGTGTTGACAGCTCAACTTGATGTCTGAAGAGATGATGCAGTCAGTGTGGAAATGGGTGGCTGGAAGGAGGTGTGGGCTGGGACCGTGCAGCAAAGCAGTCTAGCAGCTCTGCGAGTGATGACTGTGTGGTACTTGGAGGTGGGAGGTTTGGGGTTGCTTCTGCTGATGTGGATCAATCATAGAGTGGTTTGGGTTGGAGACCCAAAGACCATCCAGTTCCATCCATGGGCAGGAACCCACCAGACCAGGTTGCCTAATGTGCATCCCTCCATACAGGCACCAGGCTGGGTTGAGCTCCTGGAAGGCTTTCCTTGCTGGTACTGGGTCTGCTCTCACTGAAGCCTCAATGCCTTCTGTTTGCCTTTCAGCATGGATACACAGTCCAATCCTGATTGTAGTCCTCCTGGCTCCCAGCTTGGCGAGCAGCTTTTGGGAAACCTGAGCACCCAGTTAATAATAGGATGGAATGCTTTTGCTGCTCCTTGGTCTTAATCCTTCCTTGCTGGTGTAACTGAGTAGCCAGAGTCATTAGAGAAACATGCAAAATATTTCAGTTATTTCTATTTGGATGTTGCTGGTGGCAAATAAGAGATAAATGGAGTCTGTATTGAGCTGTGCTTAGTTTGTTGCATCATTGGTTTTATTGGAGGGTTCAAGGTCCAGCTCTGAATTGCTGCTTTCTGGGTTCAGCCCAGCTTCAGGGTGCATTGGAGCTGCATTGTGCCTAATGAAGGGGTGGGCAGATGGAGAAGCGAGGGGAAGGGCTGCATGTGTGTGCTTCTTTAAAATGCTGGGTTCTCATTCTCCATTACTGCCTTCCCCAATCTCCTGAGTGGCTGTGGTTAGATGGGTTTGCTTTGGTGTCTGTCCCATGAGCTGACTTGTAGTGCCTCAGAAGCTTCCCACTAGCCATTTGCAGATGCCCGTGTGTGATACCAGCACTTCTGGATGTGCTCCTGGATGCTGCCTTGAGTCCTGACTGGCTCTGATGGAAGGGCAGCTGTGTTGTTGTCTGCATACCGTAAGGGTGGCCTCTGTGTGCAGACCAGCTTGGCTTCATCTTTTTTGGCTGAAATGACCTCGTAGGCATGAAGGGTTTGAGGAATAGTGCCTGTCCTTCCCTATGTTTGCTTGTGTTGGGGATGGAGATGAAATGCTTTGCTTGCTGGGGCTCTCCCCAAAGTGCTGAGATATTGAAGATAAAGACAATATGTGTGTCATTCACTGTGCTACCTGGCTGATGACTCAAGAGAAAGGGAAAATACTTAAATCATCACAATATGTCAGCGCGTTCACATACAGCATTACCAGTATGACTAATAACATGGTGCAAGCCTGCTTGGCTTCTGGATGGCACAGGCTGGGGAGAGGGTGTCTTACACTTGTGAGTTGTGTCACAGAAGACAAGCTCAAACAATCAGCTTTGGTACTGGTGTAGAATGTGCTGTAACTGTCTTC